GATCTGGGATGACCACTCATGGACGGATGGCCTAGTCTTTGAGAGACGGGATTGCAACACAGGTGGTGTTAGACCACTGATGTGACCAAGGTGAATGGGCATGGCCTAGTGTAATGGCCTGATATGTTGGTGGTACCATAGGGTGTCGGTCATGGGATCGAACACATGGAGCACTTGGACCAAGTGCAAAGGTTGAGTGGCATGGATGCCATTCTCGGGGTTAGTAAACCCCAAGTTCTGAATTGGACTTATAAAGGTTGTGAGTGAGACTCCTCCTAGTGGTCGGAGAGATAGTTAAGTGACTAAAGTAGAATGGAAAAATTAGTCGCTTATACATTGGTCTTGGAGGTGTGTTGATGCAAGAGAGCTCCAGTGTGCCTGGTCAGCGCCATCCCATTGCGTATATAAGCCGTACATTACAACCAACAGAAATGTACTCCAAGACAGAGAATGAGTGTTTAGCAGCAGTCTAGGGTTTCGAGAAACTTCATGCATATCTACATGGTTCTCGGATGTTACTTAAAGGTGACCATGCTACTGTTACTTCATTATTAAAGCGGAAAAACCTGGTTGGTTGTACTACTTGATGGGCTTTGAAGCTTCAGATATATGATTTTGATGTTATTCATTGCCAAGGGAGTTCTATGCTAATGCCCTTTTTTGAGCTCCTCTTCCTTCTCCACTCTCTTCTCATATTTTTTATGAGTCTGTTATTCCAGCATCTATGGATTTTCTAAACGAGGATTTTGTGTTGTTGGCAGTTGCTATACTTGACGTTCAGTGTCCACAAGGCACAAAGCAAGATCTACCTTCTCTTAATGAGGTTCGTGAGGCTCAAAAAATTGAGCCGTAGATTCGAAAGCTTCAAGATGGGTTTGAAAATCCTGCATCATTTGCTGATGACTTGCTTTTCGAGCATTTACATTCTCAATATCGCTTTGAAGATGGCCTTCTTTATTTTGTGGGGATGGATCCTGATAATCATTTACAGCTAGTGGTGCTTTTTATCTTTATTCCGTAGTTTCTCTATGCCTACCATAATTCTCTTGTTCTAGGTGGGTATATAAGACATCAGCGTGTAACCGAGAAGCTGCACAGGTCTTTCTATTGGCCGGAGATGTGACATGATATTATCCGATATGTGCATAACTACGTTTGATGCCAATCTCGTAATACTCCCCCTCGTGTTGCAGAAGGACAATTGAAGTCATTAGAAACTAGTAAATATCACCAATTATTAAGAACTCTAAATAAAAAGCAAAGAATAATACATGATAACTTCATATTGAAAAAAAAAAAACAACATAACAAACAGCTATACTTATTTTTAATAAGAGCAGAAATTGGAAAATTAATGCTTTTAAATACACTTATAAAAACACTCAAATGATATTATAAAACAAACCAAGATATAAATAATGAACCACGACAAACAGCAGCACTTACAGGAAAAACATCTTGTAATATAAATGGTTCAACAATACATTCAGCTTTTACATTTCGACCATAAGCATCAAAACAACATCAAACAATATTAACAAATGACACATTAGATAAATATAAGAGAAAGTTTTCAACAATAAATTGTTTAGTAATAGATGAAATATCAATGGTAAGTGTAGAAATGCTACAAGATATAAATAGAAAATGTGAAAGCTTCAAAACAACATATGGAATAAACTTTGGTGGGATGGATTGTTTATTTACAAGTGATTTCTATCAATTCAATCCTATATTGAAGCATCAATTTATCAACAAAAACATATAGACCTGAAAATAATGTCTCTATATAGCACCCATGGAAAAATAATATTAAAGTCTATGAACTTACTGAAATAATGAGGCAAAAAGATGATATAATCTTTATAAAAGCTTTAAATAAAATAAAAATAGGAGAACAACCAGATAAAGAGCTAGAATATATAAATAAACAAGTCACCACAGATACATATAACACAGAATACTATTCAATATTTTCAACTAATGAACAAGTAAGAAAACATAATGAAAAAATAATACAACACATACAAGGTCAAGATATAATTATAAAAGCACAAGACAAACATGGAAATTCCTGTCCTACACATTTTATGCTGCCAGATGACACAAGAAAAACACAAGGACTACATGAAATATTACATTTGAAAAAGAAAATGGCAATTGAAATAACACAAAATATAGCAACAAAAGATGGATTGGTAAATGGAGCAAATGGAGTAGTACAAGATGTAACCCAGATTGAAGAAAAATAAATAATGTGGATAGAATTCCCAAATATAAAAACAGGTGAAAAAACAAGAGCTAAAGAAAACATAACAATAAAGAAAAATAATGGAAAAGAAACTGGACACCAATAAAAAAAAAACAAGAATAATAAATATTACTAAAAATAAAAATTATGTTATAAGTAGAACCCAATTTCCAATACAACCATGCGCAAGAAGAACAATACATAGAGCACAAGGATCAACAGTTATGCAATTAGGATATGACTCATATAAAACAAAATATCTAGAACAAGCATATACAGCATTATCAAGAGCACAAACACTAAAAGGTATACATTTATATAGACCAATTGAACATAAACATATTAAAAATCAATAAAGATGCAGCTAAAGAAATATTAAGAATGACAACAGAAGCACTATAGCAAATTGATTTAATAGATTTACAAGAAGAAAAAATAGCTAACCAAACAATTATACAAGTTCTAAATACAACATCTATTACTGCACATAAAGACGATATAGAGAGTGATTCACAATTATTAACATCAGATATGATATGTATGCAAGAAGTAAGAACACAAAAACATGAGGATTTAAATTTTAATAAATATAAATCATATATACATGAACATTGCATACAAATGACTATAAATCATAGAACATCTAAAAACAGAAACATTGGCAATGTCATATGTATCACTAGAAAAAAAATTTAAAAATTAAAGATAAAAAATTTACATAGAAAACCTGGAACAAATATACAAATATTCATAAAACAACTACAAAAATATATACAGAAAATAGATAATAAAAAGCCAGTAATAATTACAGGAGATTTCAATATTGACTACCAAAAAGAAGAAGCAAAACCACTTCAAACAATAATGGAGAAAGAAGGATGCATATAAATAATAAAGCACAACACATGTAATAATAAATTAATAGATCATATATGGATAAAAGATATAATATATACAAAAGCAGGAATAGGACCTGCATATTGGACAGATCATAACAAATTATACATCCTAATAAAAAATATAAAAACAAAAGCAAACCATGCAATGCAACACACAGCAATTTTATTTACTAGATTCAACTCTCTTTTGTCCAAAAAACTTATTCACAATAATTTCTAGCATAAATTTTGTTAAATCTGCAAGGAATTGCCATACCACTTCTTCCAATCCCACTGGGCAATGATTTGTGGATGACAATTGCATGTATGCCTTTTAATTTTCTACTTTGGTAGCATAACTTATCAACATGTTGCAGTGTTAGTGATCAAGCTTTATCTATTCAAATTTGAGTGTGTGCTTATTCTCATTTTCTCAAAATAAGTGGTGGCCAAAGGTTTTGCAACCTCTCCGCCACCTTTTGCTGCAGTGCAAGCTCTAGCGAGGCGAGCCAAAATTGCATGGATCATGCATGCAATTGTAGAAGCAACCATTTGGGTAGAGGCCAACGTGGTCTCCGGTCGTCTTTGGTCTTCACACCGGTCGTTGATCTGGTTTTTGACCTCGAGAAAGCATTCCATTTTGCTGGAAGCTTGAAGTTGATCGGTGGAGAATGAGCCTAGCACCAGGGGACAGCCATTAGCCCGCGGAGGTGAGAAAGTGGGACTGAGGTCCATTACATTCTCTAATGGAATGTTGTTTCTACGGGAGAGAAGCCAGGATCTGGCTGGCTGTCGGCCTGAGGCTCCTGTTTGGATGTAGCATGCTCCGAATCTTCTCTGCCAATTCCTGGTTTGCAATTTCCCACTCCTTTGGGAAGATGCCATCCTTAGCCAGCTGCATCGTGGAGTCTCTGTCTTGGTTCTCGGGTGAGAAGCGGCAATTGAGCTCGAAAAGTATCATCCCCAGGCTGAAAATATCGGAAGCCATCTCATTCTCGAGTTGCTTTGGCGAGGAGTACATGCCTGTCCCAACTTTCCCACCCTCTCTCGGGAGCGACAACTTCTTCTTCGCTGGAAAAATAAATATGAGAACCTCTGGCAAGGAGGAAACTAGAAAACTACGTACCCAGCCCGAAATCTCCCAGTTTCAGGCGATTATAGTCGTCGAAAAAGATATTCTTCGGAGCGATGTCTCTGTGAATGATTTTTTTTTCATGCAGGTACTCAACAGCTTGAACGAGCTCGTTGAACGCTGCCACCGGGATCAAGGCTTTTGGATCTTCCAGCATATCTTTTAACGAGCTGTAAAAATGGCTTGTCAGCTCGAAAAAAGGAAAAAAAAAAAAAAAAAAGGGAAAGATTTTACACACTGGTACCTCGTGCAGTATTGCATTTGGATGTACACCACACAACCCCCACCAGGCTGCTCCTCCCACCAAGAAGTATGATATTTCACAATGTTTGCATGAGCCAGAGTTGAAAGTGTTCTTGCTTCCTTCATGACACTCTCAAGGTCTTTCCGGACATGGATCTGCAAAGCATAGATTAGAGAGCTTTGGTTCATGACATACACTCCAAGCTCACCTGCTTTACCGCGTACACTTGTCCGTCAAACTTGTGTCGGCACATGTAAACCACACCGTCAGCACCTCTTCCAAGCTGTTTGATCAACGTGAATTCTTCATTGAACTTGGTGTTGATGTGCTTTGTTCCCAGCTCACCGCCGCAGAGATCCTTGACAATGTAATTAAACGTCCTCTCCGACAAATCCTACACATACAATTAGAGAAACACTGTGACAACTCAAAACAAACGCTTACTCCGGACGCCTTGAGGCATCGCGCGGCATTGAGCAATGTTGAGCTCAGCTCATCCTTGGTTGCAGCTGAAAGTGGCTCCGGTGCCCTCCTCAAATGAGGAGGAGTGTATCCCTGGAGGAGGAGTAACGCAATCGTTGTGTGTAGCCAAAAATGGAATGTACCTTTTTAGTCATGGGAGGAGTGGAGCAACACCGAGGCCCTGCCAAGAATGCACCGGCCGTTTTGAGGTAATCGCTGTGGAGGAAAACTGGCTGTGCTGCCGGAGACCAGAACTGCATCGCAGATCTCAGCACGTTTACCACGGGGCCACGCAAAAAGCTTCCGGTGAACACAGTCTTCTTCACGTTCTGTCCGGCAGCGGTGAGCGAAGCTATCTGGGAGATGTTGTTCACTATCATCCGAAGGAGTGACATAGCAATGTCCTCCTCTCGCCAATGCCC